GTACAACACACAGAGTACAACACTCAGGTACAACACTCAGGTACAACACTCAGATACAACACACAGATACAACACACAGAGTACAACACACAGAGTACAACACTCAGGTACAACACACAGGTACAACACTCAGGTACAACACACAGAGTACAACACTCAGGTACAACACTCAGGTACAACACACAGAGTACAACACACAGAGTACAACACTCAGAGTACAACACACAGAGTACAACACACAGAGTACAACACACAGAGTACAACACTCAGGTACAACACTCAGGTACAACACTCAGGTACAACACACAGAGTACAACACACAGGTACAACACTCAGGTACAACACACAGAGTACAACACACAGGTACAACACACAGAGTACAACACACAGAGTACAACACTCAGGTACAACACACAGAGTACAACACTCAGAGTACAACACTCAGGTACAACACTCAGGTACAACACACAGAGTACAACAGTCAGGTACAACACTCAGAGTACAACACACAGAGTACAACACTCAGGTACAACACTCAGAGTACAACACTCAGGTACAACACTCAGAGTACAACACTCAGGTACAACACACAGAGTACAACACACAGAGTACAACACACAGAGTACAACACTCAGATACAACACACAGAGTACAACACTCAGATACAACACACAGGTACAACACTCAGGTACAACACACAGAGTACAACACTCAGGTACAACACACAGAGTACAACACTCAGGTACAACACACAGAGTACAACACTCAGGTACAACACACAGAGTACAACACACAGAGTACAACACTCAGGTACAACACACAGAGTACAACACACAGAGTACAACACTCAGGTACAACACACAGAGTACAACACTCAGGTACAACACACAGAGTACAACACACAGAGTACAACACAGAGTACAACACTCAGATACAACACACAGAGTACAACACTCAGATACAACACACAGAGTACAACACTCAGATACAACACACAGAGTACAACACACAGAGTACAAAACTCAGGTACAACACTCAGGTACAACACAGGTACAACACACAGAGTACAACACTCAGGTACAACACTCAGGTACAACACTCAGATACAACACACAGATACAACACACAGAGTACAACACACAGAGTACAACACTCAGGTACAACACACAGGTACAACACTCAGGTACAACACACAGAGTACAACACTCAGGTACAACACTCAGGTACAACACTCAGGTACAACACTCAGGTACAACACTCAGAGTACAACACTCAGGTACAACACACAGAGTACAACACTCAGGTACAACACTCAGAGTACAACACTCAGGTACAACACACAGAGTACAACACTCAGGTACAACACTCAGGTACAACATACAGGTACAACACTCAGGTACAACACACAGAGTACAACACACAGAGTACAACACACTGAGTACAACACTCAGGTACAACACACAGAGTACAACACACAGAGTACAACACTCAGGTACAATACACAGAGTACAACACTCAGGTACAACACACAGAGTACAACACACAGAGTACAACACAGAGTACAACACTCAGATACAACACACAGAGTACAACACTCAGATACAACACACAGAGTACAACACTCAGATACAACACACAGAGTACAACACACAGAGTACAACACTCAGGTACAACACTCAGGTACAACACAGGTACAACACACAGAGTACAACACTCAGGTACAACACTCAGGTACAACACTCAGATACAACACACAGATACAACACACAGAGTACAACACACAGAGTACAACACTCAGGTACAACACACAGGTACAACACACAGGTACAACACTCAGGTACAACACACAGAGTACAACACTCAGGTACAACACTCAGGTACAACACACAGAGTACAACACACAGAGTACAACACTCAGAGTACAACACTCAGAGTACAACACACAGAGTACAACACTCAGGTACAACACTCAGAGTACAACACTCAGGTACAACACACAGAGTACAACACACAGAGTACAACACACAGAGTACAACACTCAGGTACAACACACAGAGTACAACACTCAGGTACAACACACAGAGTACAACACACAGAGTACAACACACAGAGTACAACACACAGAGTACAACACTCAGGTACAACACACAGAGTACAACACTCAGGTACAACACACAGAGTACAACACACAGAGTACAACACTCAGGTACAACACACAGAGTACAACACTCAGGTACAACACACAGAGTACAACACTCAGGTACAACACACAGAGTACAACACACAGAGTACAACACTCAGGTACAACACACAGAGTACAACACTCAGGTACAACACACAGAGTACAACACACAGAGTACAACACACAGAGTACAACACTCAGGTACAACACACAGATACAACACTCAGGTACAACACACAGAGTACAACACACAGAGTACAACACACAGAGTACAACACTCAGGTACAACACACAGAGTACAACACACAGAGTACAACACTCAGGTACAACACACAGAGTACAACACTCAGGTACAACACACAGAGTACAACACTCAGGTACAACACACAGAGTACAACACTCAGGTACAACACACAGAGTACAACACTCAGGTACAACACACAGAGTACAACACTCAGGTACAACACACAGAGTACAACACTCAGGTACAACACTCAGGTACAACACACAGAGTACAACACACAGAGTACAACACAGAGTACAACACTCAGGTACAACACACAGAGTACAACACACAGAGTACAACACTCAGGTACAACACACAGAGTACAACACTCAGGTACAACACACAGAGTACAACACACAGAGTACAACACACAGAGTACAACACTCAGGTACAACACACAGAGTACAACACACAGAGTACAACACTCAGGTACAACACACAGAGTACAACACACAGAGTACAACACTCAGGTACAACACACAGATACAACACTCAGGTACAACACACAGAGTACAACACACAGAGTACAACACACGGAGTACAACACTCAGGTACAACACACAGAGTACAACACACAGAGTACAACACTCAGGTACAACACACAGAGTACAACACTCAGGTACAACACACAGAGTACAACACTCAGGTACAACACACAGAGTACAACACTCAGGTACAACACACAGAGTACAACACTCAGGTACAACACACAGAGTACAACACTCAGGTACAACACACAGAGTACAACACTCAGGTACAACACTCAGGTACAACACACAGAGTACAACACACAGAGTACAACACAGAGTACAACACTCAGGTACAACACACAGAGTACAACACACAGAGTACAACACTCAGGTACAACACACAGAGTACAACACTCAGGTACAACACACAGAGTACAACACACAGAGTACAACACACAGAGTACAACACACAGAGTACAACACTCAGGTACAACACACAGAGTACAACACTCAGGTACAACACACAGAGTACAACACTCAGGTACAACACACAGAGTACAACACTCAGGTACAACACACAGAGTACAACACTCAGGTACAACACACAGAGTACAACACTCAGGTACAACACTCAGGTACAACACACAGAGTACAACACTCAGGTACAACACACAGAGTACAACACTCAGGTACAACACACAGAGTACAACACTCAGGTACAACACACAGAGTACAACACACAGAGTACAACACAGAGTACAACACACAGAGTACAACACTCAGGTACAACACACAGAGTACAACACTCAGGTACAACACACAGAGTACAACACTCAGGTACAACACTCAGGTACAACACTCAGGTACAACACACAGAGTACAACACACAGAGTACAACACTCAGGTACAACACACAGAGTACAACACACAGGTACAACACTCAGGTACAACACTCAGGTACAACACACAGAGTACAACACTCAGGTACAACACTCATGTACAACACTCAGGTACAACACACAGAGTACAACACTCAGGTACAACACACAGAGTACAACACACAGAGTACAACACACAGAGTACAACACACAGAGTACAACACTCAGGTACAACACACAGAGTACAACACACAGAGTACAACACTCAGGTACAACACACAGGTACAACACACAGAGTACAACACACAGAGTACAACACACAGAGTACAACACAGAGTACAACACTCAGGTACAACACACAGAGTACAACACTCAGGTACAACACACAGAGTACAACACACAGAGTACAACACTCAGGTACAACACACAGGTACAACACACAGAGTACAACACACAGAGTACAACACACAGAGTACAACACAGAGTACAACACTCAGGTACAACACACAGAGTACAACACACAGGTACAACACACAGAGTACAACACAGAGAGTACAACACACAGAGTACAACACTCAGGTACAACACTCAGGTACAACACACAGAGTACAACACTCAGGTACAACACACAGAGTACAACACTCAGGTACAACACACAGAGTACAACACACAGAGTACAACACTCAGGTACAACACACAGAGTACAACACACAGAGTACAACACACAGAGTACAACACAGAGTACAACACTCAGGTACAACACACAGAGTACAACACACAGGTACAACACACAGAGTACAACACAGAGAGTACAACACTCAGGTACAACACACAGAGTACAACACTCAGGTACAACACTCAGGTACAACACACAGAGTACAACACTCAGGTACAACACACAGAGTACAACACTCAGGTACAACACACAGAGTACAACACACAGAGTACAACACTCAGGTACAACACACAGGTACAACACACAGAGTACAACACACAGAGTACAACACACAGAGTACAACACAGAGTACAACACTCAGGTACAACACACAGGTACAACACACAGGTACAACACACAGAGTACAACACAGAGAGTACAACACTCAGGTACAACACACAGAGTACAACACTCAGGTACAACACACAGAGTACAACACACAGAGTACAACACACAGAGTACAACTCACCAAGGTCGTAATCAATACCGAGGCTCTGTATTCTATCCCAGGGATACTTCTCGAAGTTGTACCACATGCCGGACTGAACGTTGAGCTTGTTCACGGTGATGTGGTTGTCCCGGTCCGCGCGGGACTGTTCGTGCCAGAACCCGGCGGCGTGCATCAGTTCGTGCAGGACAATGCCCACGTAGAGGCACCCGGGCCCCAGGGACACCGTCTGGGCCCCTCCCACACGACCTACGGAGCTGGAACACCTGTGGCAGGAACACTGTTGTATGCACCATTTTGTATGTTTACATTGGCTAAACACTTCGTGAGCTCCTAAGAGCTACGAGGTCGTTTATAACATAACCTTGTGGGGTTTACGAGCTTGTAAACTGCTTAATAACTTTAAACCAAGTCGTCACGATTGTGGAAAGAGGTGCAGGTCTCGTAAGTGCCCAGAGAGACGCCTTTCTGGGTCCCACGTGCTTGACTTAAGTGCTGGGATATGTGATGAGCCTCGTCTTGAGACAGTTACTCTAACAATCCCTGCCAATGCTTCTACATGCCTCACCTCCTCCTTCACATCATCTCCTTCCCCGCCGCGGCCTATCCCCCCCCCGTCGCCTCACTCCCCTCCTGTCGGGAATTTCCGACACCCCAAATACTAACCCCTCCCCCCCCCTACCACAATAAGATATAAATATTGTGTTAGGAAATTAAATCTACTAATATTACTAACTCCTAACATAGGGACGCCAAACGGTTCCTACGTCCATGGCCGCTTTGGCGTCAGTCGCCCCAGCTCCCATGAGAACAAACTCTTTATTCAAATCTAATTAAACCCAGTCTAACCTCTGCTTAATTTGCACGGTAATTTAGATTGGAAATTGATTTAATTCATTTAAAACACAACACCCTGCTATGTATAAACAGTCAAGTCATGTATATCATTTTCATATATGTGTTTTTAACTACTGACACTTCAGTCCAGTAATATAAACAGTGGAAAATTATCTGACGATATCTGAAGTGTATTATTAAGACGCAAAATGACGTCAGTAATGTCTTGTTAGATAGCAGGACAAAGTAGGATATGGTGACTTATATTCCGGGGCGGTGCGCCGAGGAGAGGAGGTAGAGGGCACGCGGCACCTGCTCTCCCACACTGATGAGCAACAACATCCATGTGAAGCACATTTGTATCGCGTTGTTTTGGGATCATCCGTACACTTACGACTCCCAGGCGTTGATGCTTGCTTCATCCAACAGAGGCACGTTGCATCCACTCACTAAACTGACTATCTATAGGTTTTTTTTAACCATATTAACCATATTAACCAAAGGTTAATATGGCCATATTAACCTTTTAGATTGCCCGGCCGTTAGGAAGTAGGACAATCAGAATAACCTGAGTTTAATTCCTTTAAATAGGAATTTAATTCCTTTAAATTAAAAAAATCTCCTTTTCATGGAGATTATCTGAAACGACTTTAACTTTATAGGAATTACACTGCATATTCTCCACAGCACGGAGGGTTACCAACGGGACCTTGACGCCTCAACTTGTGCATCACGTCTTTACGACGCCATCACGTTGACACTAGGAATTGACGGATTTCGGAAGACTGTCAAATGGACTTCTAACAAGCAGCGTGACAGCTAAGCCATACTAAACTTAACTTATGATATTGTAGTTAGTTTACTAACTCCATATAAAAGTTTATTTTATAAAATTTTACCTTTGAAATTATTTAAGCATATTTAATTTACAAGATAGATTTATCATTATCTTATCTACCCCCAAAAATTTTTGTGGAAGTGGAAACATGAGACAAGTCATTAAATCATACAGTCCATTTAATTATCTTAGCATTCCTAAATCATAGTTGGAAATATTTCCTCCCCCTCCCCCTTCCCACACCTCCCCTACCCACACCTTCCCCTTCCCACACCTCCCCTACCCACACCTCCCACACCTTCCCCTTCCCACACCTCCCCTACCCACACCTCCCACACCTTCCCCTTCCCACACCTCCCCTACCCACACCTTCCCCTACCCACACCTCCCCCACCTTCCCTTCCCACACCTCCCCTACCCACACCTCCCCCTACCCACACCTCCCACACCTTCCCCTCCCTACAACCGGCCTTGACCACACACCCGTCACCCTTGAGGATGTGGATGTAATCTCTCTCCACTGTGCGGGGGACGAGTCTGATGCAGGTGTTCTTGTGGTACTGGTTGATCGCCATAGCTATTGTGCCCCGCTCATGGTTGTCTGAAACAAACACAAATACCATATATATATATATATATATATATATATATATATATATATATATATATAGAGTGCAAAATATTAATGTTTCCTTAAATTTGCTTAATGTACACACTTCAAGTTTAGTTATGCCAAGTGACTTCCAGCAAGGGTACCGTTAACAAGCAATAACAAGCGGCAGTTTAGCCCTCTGAACAAGCATATTCAGGCAGCCTTAGTTAAGATCATACAGAGTTAGCATCAAACTGAACTTAAAGAACCATGTTGTAAGTTCACTTTTATTCGTTATATTTGACTTCGACTTTACCTATGTGAGGTAAAGCTGATGTAGAGTTTACCTGACCTTACTGTGGGTAGACTACTAATTGATGAAACAGTTCCAGGTGATCTAACAGCTGACCTTAATATGACCTCAGTTGACCTTACTGTATGAGGAAGAGATGACGTAGGGAATGACCCCATTGGGCCAGCGACGACTCAGGTTGATAATGGCGTTTCTTGCGTGTGGTAACCGTGACCTGCCGCCACCCTGAGGTCACCATAGGTCAGGTCAGGGCACAATTAGCAAGCAATTACCTTAAAATGAACTAATTAACAAAACAATATTTACTTGTGTATATTAAATACATTTTCACAGTAAAGTTACATATAGTGAGCAGGCGATGCGTCACAATAACGTGGCTAAAGTAAGTTGACCAGACCACACACTAGAAGGTGAAGGGACGACGACGTTTCGGTCCGTCCTGGACAATCGACTTGAGAATGGACGGACCGAAACGTCGTCGTCCCTCCACCTTCTAGTGTGTGGTCTGGTCAACGTACATATAGTGCTACATGTGGACTGACCATGGCACTATCGGAGACGTGGTCCATGCTGTTGAGGATAATGTCTCCCTGGTACAGCCCCGCCAGCTCTATAGGGTCCGCCTGGCTCGTGGTGTCCACCGCTGCGTGCACTGTTGGGGCACCGAGAGGCTGGGTATATACTCCCAGAACCTGGGTATATACACCCAGAAGCTGGGTATATACTCCCAGAAGCTGGGTATATACACCCAGAAGCTGGGTATATACCCAGAAGCTGGGTATATACTCCCAGAAGCTGGGTATATACCCAGAAGCTGGGTATATACTCCCAGAAGCTGGGTATATACTCCCAGAAGCTGGGTATATACTCCCAGAAGCTGGGTATATACTCCCAGAAGCTGGGTATATACTCCCAGAAGCTGGGTATATACTCCCAGAAGCTGGGTATACGCAGAAGCTGGGCATATACTCCCAGAAGCTGGGTATATACTCCCAGAAGCTGGGTATATACGCAGAAGCTGGGTATATACGCAGAAGCTGGGTATATACCCAGAAGCTGGGTATATACACCCAGAAGCTGGGTATATACACCCAGAAGCTGGGTATATACACCCAGAAGCTGGGTATATACACCCAGAAGCTGGGTATATACACCCAGAAGCTGGGTATATACACCCAGAAGCTGGGTATATACACCCAGAAGCTGGGCATATACACCCAGAAGCTGGGCATATACACCCAGAAGCTGGGTATATACACCCAGAAGCTGGGTATATACACCCAGAAGCTGGGTATATACACCCAGAAGCTGGGTATATACACCCAGAAGCTGGGTATATACACCCAGAAGCAGAAGCTGGGTATATACACCCAGAAGCTGGGTATATACACCCAGAAGCTGGGTATATACACCCAGAAGCTGGGTATACACCCAGAAGCTGGGTATATACACCCAGAAGCTGGGTATATACACCCAGAAGCTGGGTATATACACCCAGAAGCTGGGTATATACTCCCAGAAGCTGGGTATATACTCCCAGAAGCTGGGTATATACTCCCAGAAGCTGGGTATATACTCCCAGAAGCTGGGTATATACTCCCAGAAGCTGGGTATATACTCCCAGAAGCTGGGTATATACTCCCAGAAGCTGGGTATATACACCCAGAAGCTGGGTATATACTCCCAGAAGCTGGGTATATACTCCCAGAAGCTGGGTATATACTCCCAGAAGCTGGGTATATACTCCCAGAAGCTGGGTATATACTCCCAGAAGCTGGGTATATACTCCCAGAAGCTGGGTATATACTCCCAGAAGCTGGGTATATACTCCCAGAAGCTGGGTATATACTCCCAGAAGCTGGGTATATACTCCCAGAAGCTGGGTATATACGCAGAAGCTGGGTATATACACCCAGAAGCTGGGTATATACACCCAGAAGCTGGGTATATACACCCAGAAGCTGGGTATATACACCCAGAAGCTGGGTATATACACCCAGAAGCTGGGTATATACACCCAGAAGCTGGGTATATACACCCAGCTGGGTATATACCAGAAGCTGGGTATATACACCCAGAAGCTTGGTATATACACCCAGAAGCTGGGTATATACACCCAGAAGCTGGGTATATACACCCAGAAGCTGGGTATATACACCCAGAAGCTGGGCATATACACCCAGAAGCTGGGTATATACACCCAGAAGCTGGGTATATACATATACTCCCAGAAGCTGGGTATATACTCCCAGAAGCTGGGTATATACGCAGAAGCTGGGTATATACGCAGAAGCTGGGTATATACGCAGAAGCTGGGTATATACACCCAGAAGCTGGGTATATACACCCAGAAGCTGGGTATATACACCCAGAAGCTGGGTATATACACCCAGAAGCTGGGTATATACACCCAGAAGCTGGGTATATACACCCAGAAGCTGGGTATATACACCCAGAAGCTGGGCATATACACCCAGAAGCTGGGCATATACACCCAGAAGCCGGGCATATACACCCAGAAGCTGGGTATATACACCCAGAAGCTGGGTATATACACCCAGAAGCTGGGTATATACACCCAGAAGCTGGGTATATACACCCAGAAGCTGGGCATATACACCCAGAAGCTGGGTATATACACCCAGAAGCTGGGCATATACACCCTGAAGCTGGGTATATACACCCAGAAGCTGGGTATATACACCCAGAAGCTGGGCATATACACCCTGAAGCTGGGCATATACACCCAGAAGCTGGGCATATACACCCAGAAGCTGGGCATATACACCCAGAAGCTGGGCATATACACCCAGAAGCTGGGTATATACACCCAGAAGCTGGGCATATACACCCAGAAGCTGGGTATATACACCCAGAAGCTGGGCATATACACCCAGAAGCTGGGTATATACACCCAGAAGCTGGGTATATACTCCCAGAAGCTGGGTATATACTCCCAGAAGCTGGGTATATACTCCCAGAAGCTGGGTATATACTCCCAGAAGCTGGGTATATACACCCAGAAGCTGGGTATATACACCCAGAAGCTGGGTATATACTCCCAGAAGCTGGGTATATACTCCCAGAAGCTGGGTATATACTCCCAGAAGCTGGGTATATACTCCCAGAAGCTGGGTATGTACTCCCAGAAGCTGGGTATATACTCCCAGAAGCTGGGTATATACTCCCAGAAGCTGGGTATATACTCCCAGAAGCTGGGTATATACACCCAGAAGCTGGGTATATACACCCAGAAGCTGGGTATATACTCCCAGAAGCTGGGTATATACTCCCAGAAGCTGGGTATATACTCCCAGAAGCTGGGTATATACACCCAGAAGCTGGGCATATACACCCAGAAGCTGGGTATATACACCCAGAAGCTGGGCATATACACCCAGAAGCTGGGTATATACACCCAGAAGCTGGGTATATACACCCAGAAGCTGGGCATATACACCCAGAAGCTGGGTATATACTCCCAGAAGCTGGGTATATACACCCAGAAGCTGGGCATATACACCCAGAAGCTGGGTATATACTCCCAGAAGCTGGGTATATACACCCAGAAGCTGGGTATATACACCCAGAAGCTGGGTATATACACCCAGAAGCTGGGTATATACACCCAGAAGCTGGGTATATACTCCCAGAAGCTGGGTATATACTCCCAGAAGCTGGGTATATACACCCAGAAGCTGGGTATATACACCCAGAAGCTGGGTATATACTCCCAGAAGCTGGGTATATACACCCAGAAGCTGGGTATATACACCCAGAAGCTGGGTATATACACCCAGAAGCTGGGTATATACACCCAGAAGCTGGGTATATACACCCAGAAGCTGGGTATATACACCCAGAAGCTGGGTATATACACCCAGAAGCTGGGTATATACTCCCAGAAGCTGGGTATATACACCCAGAAGCTGGGCATATACACCCAGAAGCTGGGTATATACTCCCAGAAGCTGGGTATATACACCCAGAAGCTGGGCATATACACCCAGAAGCTGGGTATATACTCCCAGAAGCTGGGTATATACACCCAGAAGCTGGGCATATACACCCAGAAGCTGGGTATATACTCCCAGAAGCTGGGCATATACACCCAGAAGCTGGGTATATACTCCCAGAAGCTGGGTATATACTCCCAGAAGCTGGGTATATACACCCAGAAGCTGGGTATATACACCCAGAAGCTGGGTATATACACCCAGAAGCTGGGTATATACACCCAGAAGCTGGGTATATACACCCAGAAGCTGGGTATATACACCCAGAAGCTGGGTATATACTCCCAGAAGCTGGGTATATACTCCCAGAAGCTGGGCATATACACCCAGAAGCTGGGCTGGGCATATACACCCAGAAGCTGGGTATATACTCCCAGAAGCTGGGTATATACACCCAGAAGCTGGGTATATACTCCCAGAAGCTGGGTATATACACCCAGAAGCTGGGCATATACACCCAGAAGCTGGGTATATACTGGGTATATACTCCCAGAAGCTGGGTATATACACCCAGAAGCTGGGTATATACACCCAGAAGCTGGGTATATACACCCAGAAGCTGGGTATATACACCCAGAAGCTGGGTATATACACCCAGAAGCTGGGTATATACACCCAGAAGCTGGGTATATACACCCAGAAGCTGGGTATATACACCCAGAAGCTGGGTATATACACCCAGAAGCTGGGCTGGGTATATACACCCAGAAGCTGGGTATATACACCCAGAAGCTGGGTATATACACCCAGAAGCTGGGTATATACACCCAGAAGCTGGGTATATACACCCAGAAGCTGGGTATATACACCCAGAAGCTGGGTATATACACCCAGAAGCTGGGTATATACACCCAGAAGCTGGGTATATACTCCCAGAAGCTGGGTATATACACCCAGAAGCTGGGTATATACACCCAGAAGCTGGGTATATACACCCAGAAGCTGGGTATATACTCCCAGAAGCTGGGCATATACACCCAGTATGTGTCTGTATTTCTCAGCGTTATCACCTAAAAGTTGTATATTACCTGTTGTATAGTTGTGGTAAAGACTTAAACTTAGGACTAAGCAGATAATGATTGTTGAACTAGGCCTAAACAACTTTGAGTTCATATAATATACAATTTATCTACTTGTTAATTACAAATATAAATATTATTATTGAGAGTAATCACATCAATGATAAAATCCGAAGGAGCTGTGATAAGGACTCGAACCTATGTGGTGGGTACACGCCCACGACCCAGACAACCATCAACATGATACATCATGTTAGTGTATGTACATGGGGGGGGGGGGTTAATCCTGGCGGACTTCAGGGAAGCCTCGTGTCTTCAGTAGAACTCCAGGTTGCAATTTTTTTGACCATGTCGTGACCTGGTTGTCTGGGGCGTGTGCCTGGGACTGTACCCACCGCGTAGGTTCGAATCCTCATCACGGCTCCTACGGATTTTCTCATTATTAGTAGTAGTATTTTTAGAAATATTATTTAATGTTTGTTAAGAAGGCTCCTATTGACTCGTTTAGTTTAATTGCCAATTGGCCTGTCAGTTTAATGCGTTAATGCCTGTACAACGACTCTTCCAAGTGTATGTGCAGGTGTACAGTTGATAGATCAACTGGGGTTGGTAGAGCG